AACACATGTCCGCAAATCCTTTGTTTTTGAGTTATTAAGTTTAAAGAAAATTTACGGGAGATGTAGACCAGGTTACATTTGTCATTCGTTTACGTTTGTGGCTATCCTGTCTTCAACGTTTAACGTGTGTAGTAGTGAGTTAACTGAGAAGTGTTCCGTTTCTAACGGATATTCATTTCGTGAGAAGGCATTTTTTTTTTTTTTTACATACGGCCGTGCGAATAATAATGGACGCGAGGCTGCATGGCTGTATCAAATTGCGGAGTCATCGAACCTTTATTGCTGCTTTTCGTCGCGTTGCTGAGGCAGGATCTGTGTCACCACAAACTATGCATCGAGGAAAACCGAGATCCGTTCGTACGTCTACAGGCGATCCAGGTATCAGCACACGTCAACCGCATGGAGGGTACCTCAAGAGCAGCTCCTGTATCCGTATCATTTGAAACATGTGCAGGGTCTTTCGACCGATGATGACTCGCCACGGGAGAACTTTTGCTGATGGTTTATTGTACAAACTGCCGATCCGTTTTTTTTTATCTCTTCGGTCTTGTTTACGGATGAGGCAACATTTGGGAGAGATGGAATAACAAATTTACACAGTCAACATTTCTGGGTGGATCGGAATCCCCATGGTACAATACAAGCTAGACACCACCGCCAGTTTATGATTAATGTGAGGGCTGGAACTATAGGTGACTGTCTGGTAGGTCCATATGTTCACCCAGCACGCCTTATAGGAGCTGTCTACATAGACTTTATTTCAAACACATTTCCCGACCTGCTAGAGGATGTATTCCTGCTAATATGAAAAACCATGTGGTTCATGCCTGATGGGACTCCAGCACAATTTATTCACATTGTTCGCGATGCTCATGCTGACATTTACCATGAAAGATGGAGAGGTAGAAGTGGACCAGTTCCATGGCCTGCATGATCCCCTGACCTCAATCCTTTGAATTTTTACCTGTGGGGCCACCTAAAACAATTGGTTTATGCAGCAGACATTAATAATGCAGAGACGCTTCACCAAAACGTCATGGGGACTTGCGAAACCATTCGAGTATTTGGGAGTATTTGAAAGGGTCCGCCAGTTAATGATCCGACGGGTGCATGCGTGTGTAGAAGCAAGAGGAGGACATTTTGAAAATTTATTATGAGTTGTTATGTTGAGGTACAACAATGGCCTTTTGGACATATGTTTATATAGACATTTTAGCTTGTTTTGGAACCCACCACAAAATTTGTAAAAGTTTTTTGTTTGATCCACCCTTTATAGGTACCTCCACAAAAATTCGATACCTAACGTTTTAAATGATTTTTTTTGAAATGAAAAATCTTTCTTGAAGCTTTTATTTTAATTTCAAATGAATAGATAAATTTAATATTTACAATAACCAAAATATTCTGCTGTATTTCAAAACTATCTAAAATTCATTGGAAGATTTTTTTTTGTTTCGAAATCCCTAAAATCGATGATTTTAATGCCATTTTCAACCATCTGTCATTACAATGTAATTTTTTTTTGTAAACCAAAACTTAAAACGTTCCTAAAATATAATTTAACAATCAAAAAATCCTTTGATCTTTTCTCTTGGTAATAACAAAGATTTTCACAATAAAACTTTGTTTTTATTTATTTTGGAGTATATTTTTCATCATGTATGACCCTTTTCTTGCGAATCTGTGGGGATATATATATATATATATATATATATATATATATATATATATATATATATATATATATATGTGTGTGTGTGTGTGTGTGTGTGTGTGTGTGATAAATCATAGTTTTAAGGTAGGCTATAGTTATGGGTTAAAGTGCTCAATATCAGGGATATAAAATACATATGTTATTCAATTTATTTCTTCGTTGAAATTACGTTTGACAAGACGCTACAATATATCCGGTCATTTGACGATACATGTATATATATATTTTGTTCTAAAGCGTGTGAATGTGGTCTTAAACTCACGCGCAAAACAACAAAAACACAATCAGATTATAATACATAAGCACCCAGACATATTTAGATATATATACACACAAAAAAGCGACGAGACAGGAACATCTCTACAGCCCTTTATGAAAAAAGGAAACGGGGAAACCAACACCTATACACACACAATTAAATGTGAATGCACTCTACATACACATAGACAAATGACCGGATATTGTAGCGTCTTGTCGAACGTAATTTCAACGAAGAAATAAATTGAATAACATGTATTTTTCCTTTCTCAATAATTTTATAGTTTTTAAACTTAATAGTGATTAAATTTGGATTTAAAATTGGCAGTTTTTAATTTTAATATTAAATTTTATCATATAATTTTATAATTATTGGTTAGTATAAATTCTTTTTAATATTACACGTATTTTAAAGATCTGAATAGCTATTATAACATGATTTCGTTGTCAAGCTTTTGAATCTTCCTATACTTGTATTTTGATTGGTTATTCTAGCTTTTGTAACAATGTTTCCCCTAATGTAGGATCGTTAATTAATCTGAAACTTTTAAAACCATTTATTTTATCTTCAACATCATCACTTGATAAGACACCGAGGGTGTTGAAACAAAATGGCTATTTTTGTAGTGATTTTATAGCATATTTATGTTATAATTTTTTTTCTTTTATAAATAATAATTATATCTGCTCTACTTTGTATTGAGCACTCTTTTAAGAATAGTAATTGTTGGTTATTGGAATTCATTCCGTATATGCCAATTATATACTTGTATATATATATATATATATATATATATATATATATATATGAAAACCTCGGTTGGCTCAACTTGTAATATAACAAATTGATGTCCGAGGAAAAAATTGGAAACAAAAAAGAAAGAACCAAGAATATAACACTGTACGAATCCTCTCGTCAAGTGCTTGAGCTGCAAGTCCAAATAAAAAAACACCCCAAACTAGTAAAAGACTAAACGTAAAGTGCTCAATACACTAAGTAGAGCAAAACCTAAAATAATCTTAAGGAGCCAGGCAAACCTACCTAGGTTTCACCTAAACGGATCTCCAGGATAAACCTGGCTAAAAAGGCAAATAATGGAACAATATTTATTGATAAAACCAAATAAAAACCAAATCAAACCATTTTAAGGTTTTATTAGGTTTTTGAGGACACATGGCACAGTGGATAAAGGCGTTGGTTAGATCCAGTGACAGAACCCAAAAAGTGTGAGTTCAATACCTGGTTAAGGCGGTGGAGAACTTGGAGAGGGGAATTAACAGGAGACAACTGACATCCATTAAACATGTCATGTGGAACTAGAACAGTCTACGCCAGCGAAATAAAGGGTTCAGTTCGACATTCTAACCACCTGAAGAAAACTGGAGCGTACAACGGCCGAAACGTTGTAATAAATATGGCGACAAAGTTGAGGACAATAGTCCGAATAATGTAAATAGTTGACTAAAGAGATTAATAGCAGTTGTGACTCGAAAATTTGGAATGTTGGCCAAAAACAATGACTGCAGAAAAGAATGACAATGAACCCGAGTGTTGACCTCTGCGCACGAATTTTAAACAGGACAATCTAAACAAGAATTAATTCTCCCTGCCCTTTTTTATCCGATTCTAAACAGAAACAATTGACTTGGCTAAGGTAACTCAGTAATATCCAGTATATGACGAGTTACGACATTAAATAACAAAGTTGATGTGTTTCAGCCGAGCAATGGCCATGAGCTGAATTGGGCTTTACACCTTGTCCAAATTGTCCTAAGCTTGAAATAATTCGAAGATGATTTGGCATTATTTGGTAATATTTGCATAATTTTCACTTGCCCTCAAAGAAAAAAGATAGATACATTTGAAAAGCTATAATAGAAATATACGGGTAAAGATAGATAGATAGATAGATAGATAGATAGATAGATAGATAGATATGAACAGACTAACATAGATAGATAGATAGATAGATAGATAGATAGATAGATAGATAGATAATGAACAGGCTGAGATAGACAATGAACAGACTGAGATAGATAGATAGATAGATAGATAGATAGATAGATAGATAGATAGATAGATATGAACTAGACTAAGATAGCTAAGTAGTTAGCTATATACATTTTTAATAGAGTTCATACCATGTAAGGCAATAAAGCCACTAAGACACGAAGGTTTACCGTTACTGAGTATGAAGGAATTCGAAAACAGAAACATTATTGGTAGATCAGCTGCTAAGAATGTCGGCTCACTGTAACGGTCTAGACAATATTTTCTCCAAAATCTATCTTGCATATTTATATATTTACCATTTGTCCATACTTAGAATATTCCTGCTATATATGGTCCGGTGCCTGGAGCTCCTTGATAAGACACAAAGAAGAATCAATAATATTATTGATCGTGATATGGTAACTTGGCTTCTGTCACTTACACCTTGCTATAAGGTTGCCTCTCTGTGCCTTTTTTTTTTATAAATACTTTCATGGTAATTGTTCAGATGAGCTCTTTGCTATGGTACCTAGACTTTGTGAATTTAAGTGCAGTACTAGACTGGCGTCAAGACCTCATCAATTTGAAGTTGAGCTGGTTAGATGGAGCCGTAAGTTCTATGTTAACAGTTTCTTTTCTCGCACTGTGGAACTCCCCTCTGGCTCTATGCTTTCCAGTCAACTTTATTCTCCAAAAATTTAAACGCAATGTCAATCGCTGTCTCTTTATTAATGTTTCTGTTTCTAATTTCTCCACACCCTGTAAGCACTTACGTGTTAATAGCTATACTGTCTTGTTTTGGGCGATACGGATTAAACAATACATACATATATATATATATATATATATATATATATATATATATATATATATATTTGGTTGGATAGATGTGAGTTTGTGACCCTGGGTTTCACGCTTTAACAATCGTCAGACAAGCTGATATTGAGCGCTTTCTAATAAGTACCACGCATATAATATATAAATAATTATACATATATATATTTATTTATATTCATATACACTTTTCACACACACACACACATATATATATATATATATATATATATATATATATGTAAAAGGCATGATGTGTGTGTGTGTAACGAATGCATGGCCGCAATTTTCGACGGATTTGCACCAAAATTTACATGCACATGCTCCAAGTTAGCGAGAAGGCCAAGGCCGACATTGCATTACCCAACTCCCATCGATAGTGGAAATAATCGATTTTTCATGCTTCTACGGCAGTTTTCATGTAGTTTGCGGCCATTTTCTACTGGCCAGAGTGAGAGCCTATAGTTGGCTGCCACGAATAAGCAGGAAGATTCTATTGGCCAGCGTGAGAGCCAACAGCTGACTGACACGAATGTTAACTAGCATGCTAGCATGCAAAAAAATCGATGGCTGCATTCGTCACAAGTGGGAAAAATTTAAATCTGCATGGCACTTTACTCCAATTGGCTCATTCACTTGCTTAAACTCAACGTTGATTCTGATTCCGCAGAACTGGGTTGGATATGAAAAAATATTTGTTGTTAACATTCTTTTTTCGTTCGATTTTTCCAGTTACGAGTCCTTTTTTTAAAGCTGATCGTTTAGTGTTCATTTTGTTTAGTTCTTTTTTTCGTAACAGATTTAATGTTTAGTATAGAGCTTAGAAAAAATTCGCAGTGTGAGATAGGCAAGAAGTAGGCATTTTACCAAATCAGCACGGAAAAGGGCACTTCCTTTAAAGGCAAGGAAGGGCAAGAATATTTTAGTCAAGTGATAGCGATTGCTGTATGAGTCGTACGATTTTTAATCAAACACGGGCAACGCCGGACCATGCTGCTAGTATATATATATATATATATATATATATATATATATATATATATATATATATATATATATATATATATATTGTTATCCACAGACAGACTGTTTCGCTGTATCACAGTTCATCAGTGTGGCTAGACGTCCGGTTGCCTCTAGCTAGGATAGAAACCCGACTGAACTGGCATCAGTCGGGGATTCTACCACTAAACCGTTGGCGCACGGCAGGGTTGAATTTAAGCGTCTATATTTTTAGATAAACACACAGTGACTGAGAAAACTCGATTCGATTTACCGAAGAGTCTTGCATTATTAGCTATAATAGTCACTGTTTAAAAACTGACACTACCTACCCAGAGAGCTCAACCGAAATAATTTTTTCAGGAGCATATATATTGTCATCCACAGACAGACTGTTTTGCTGTATCACAGCTCATCAGTGTGGCTAGACGTCCGGTTGGATCTAGCTAGGATCGAAACCCCTATATATATATATATATATATATATATATATATATGTGAAAAAATATAGAAAATAGGAAGGAACTGGTTAGGTAAATAATCCAAAGTCCCTTAGTATTTTAGTTATTATTTTTAAAAAATAGTGCTCGATACAAAAGTAGAGCATAAATATAATTTCCCCAAAAAAATTTCGCTTGAAGATGGAACAGAGCTTATTTTAACTCAATTTAATTTAAATAATTATATTGAAGTTTTCGGCTCTTGTTTTGAAACATGGGACTTCCTATGTTGTGATTTGGAATCATATTTTTAAATAAATAATTATATATATATATATATATATATATATATATATATATATATATATGTTTGTCTGTGTTTGTAAGTATTTTTTATCGAGTTGTTCTTTTATTTCTTACTTTTTTAACATTGGATATGTCGACAAAGCATGAACAAATACTATTTGGACTATGTGAAAACGATATATAAATTTTTATATGTCAAGAACAACTTTATGTGAAAGAAAAACCTGCGAAAAAGTGGGAAAAATTTTCGTATGGTGTGTTTCATCCTCTGGGACTTCGTCCAACTAAATAAAGTGATGTTTACATGGATGCCATTACACATGCGCACAAAGGAAAAGGGACGCAGATAATTTTTAAATTTAAATTTATTTATTCTTTTTTTAAATATATTTTTTGGTTACCGATTACATAAAAAATTAATTTCAATTTAAAATTCACAGCATCTCCTCTCCGCATGTGTACTTCCATCAACGTAAACATTACTTTCGCCCGATGAATTCCTATTTGGACTATATATATATATATATATATATATATATAGAGAGAGAGAGAGAGAGAGAGAGAGACAGAGAGAGATAACTAGACTCGTTTCGAAAAACCCTCGAATTTTTTATTTGCTAATAATCAAATCAATTTCGAGGGAAAAAAAGGTTTTAAAAAAAAGAAAGAGCTACAAACATGAACTTCTGCCGACAAAGAAATCGCACAGATGCAGGTCTGAAGCCCAAAGAAAAGAACCCGATACGAGTAAACAACTAACTAAAAAGTGTTCAATACAACCGTAGAGCAGACCTGGCTCATTAGGTGTATATATATATATATATATATATATATATATATACAAAGAAATAATCACACATAGAATTAATCAGAAGTATCAATGCGATTATTGGCGACATCATATATGCATTAAAATCCTGTTCATCCATAGTGCGAGTTTTGATCCTTGAAGAAAAACTTGTCATCTGTAGTTTTTCAGTTTATTCGATGTTAAAATGCTAGTACTTACGGATGGTCTTCCATCCATCATCAGGCATGTGTTTTTTTCCTTATAAAATCAAAACCTTGAGACGATATACCTGTATGTCGACCGAAATATGTTTTTTGAATATCTGCTATTATTGACGGTTGTAAGATATCGGAACGTGCAAAGACGCAACGCTAAGTTTTTCAAAATTTTTAAGTGAGAATTTTTATTTAAATATTTCTTGTGATGTGTTAAATCCACGTATTCTATTTTTACAAGTGTATTCAGTTTTTATGTCATGAACTAAGTATATAGTTCAATAATATAGTGTAATGTCATAATAGTAATTATTTTTTATAGGAATTTTTATGTACTGCGGATCGATAGTTTTTTAATAAACATAAAACATTAGGCAGCATATGATTTACATACAAAGAAATAATCACACATAGAATTAATCAGAAGTATCAATGCGATTATTGGCGACATCCGTCGCTAGAAAACATAATATATGCATTAAAATCCTGTTCATCCATAGTGCGAGTTTTGATCCTTGAAGAAAAACTTGTTGTCTGTAGTTTTTCAGTTTATTTGATGTTAAAATGCTAGTACTTACGGACGGTCTTCCATCCATCATCATATATATATATTATATATAATTTAAAGAAAAACAGACCCCTATAAGGTACCATTATAATAATTTATTTCACCAGAACCCTTTTAAAAGACGCTGGATCATCAGATAGCACTTCGAAAAATGAAATAAAACGAAAAATGAAATTAATATTGATGGGTAGTGTAAGTTTTTGTAATTTAACAGAGTGCAAAAGGAGTAGTTAGAGAGACATGGTAGAGTTTAGGGAGGGTTAATTTCATATCTCTCTCAATCATACTTAATATTGGGGGAGGACGAGTGACAAGACCTTGACCTATTTAGACGGTTAACTTAACGGAAGTGATATGATGAAATGGGAGGGGAGAAGGGAGAAAAGAAAAAGGAAAAAGGAAAAAGAAAGAAGAGGGAGGGAGGGAGAAGTAAAGAGAAAGAGGCTGCAAATGGGTTTTAGCAATTTATGTAAAGAATAGATTTTAATACTTGATAGTAATTTATATATATATATATATATATATATATATATATATATATATATATATATATATATAAATTTCAAGAGGATAGAATCCAGGTAGAACTCAATGTTCAGGACAGAGTAAGAATATAATATAAAAGGCTCAAACACTAATATTCCATGGTTATAATTTATTACATTGGAATCGTAATCACGATCCAATTCATCAAACCTACAAATTCAAAAAGAAATCGGAAAAAATAACTCCGGGTATAAAAAAACAAAATTTTAGTGAGAGTGTATGTGTGGGAGTAGGAAACTAGTGTGAGAGGGAAATGTATGAAAGCTCGAGAGAGAGGGTGTAATAGAAGAAAGAAGAACAGGAAAGGCCTAAAGGTGATGGTGGGGATTAAAATTTAAAAGAAAGAAGTTAAATAACGGTTTAAATGAGTGAGATACAGATAAATATGAATTAT